AACAATACAGCAACACAGCAACACTCGGCAATACAACAATACAACAACACACAGCAACACAGCAACACAGCAACACGCAGCTACACACTGCAACACAGCAATACAACAATACAGCAACACACAGCAACACAGGCCTGGACGGGACACTGGACAGGGCCTGGGGGTCTGGATCCTAGACGGGGCCTGGGGGTCTGGACCCTAGACGGGCTCTGGGGTCTGGATGGGGTCTGGACCCTGGGAATCTGGACCCTGGGGTCTGGGGTCTGGACCCTGGGGGTCTGGGGGTCTGGACCCTGGGGGTCTGGGGGTCTGGACCCTGGGGTCTGGACCCTGGGGTCCCACTCACAGGTGACGTGCAGGAAGAGGGCGGCGGCCTGGGAGCCCAGCGCGTTGTCGGCCTGCGCGGTGACCCTGAGGATCCCGGGGGCCCGGTAGGCGTGGCGGATCCCGTCCTCCGTCCAGCTCAGGTTGGAGTAGGACACCGCCGTGCCGTCCCCGAAGTCCAGCTGGATGTTGGTCCGCATGGAGTCCCCCTGGAACAGGCCCACAGGCAGTTACAGCGGGGTTAACCCTGACCCTCCGGCCCCAGGACCCAGGGTCGTCCTCCGGGTCCCGGGTTCCCCTCGGGTCCCTGGTACTGGGGCCGGAGGGGAACCCGGGATCCGGAGCCCCAGAGGTCCCGGGTCCTCGGACCCAGGGTGTAGCGGCAACTTCGCAGCCACCGCTTCAGAGTAGGAGTATAGATCAGACTTGCGTCTCACCGGCGACATGTTCTCTCATAGAACCGTTAGCTTTTTCTTATTTGCCTACAGTCTATGCTCATCTCCCATCAAAAGTGGCACTGCCCCCTAGAGGGTCAATTTGTCACTACATACTCTGTCTAGAAGCCCATATTTACGGACAAGCTTTAGCAGATCGTCCCCCAGACACTCTGTTGATAAACATAAAAGACCTCTACAGACGTCTTTGGCAGCCAATAAGTTAAGAGAGTGTCTTTGCTCTGTTCCTCATGAGTTAAATCTCAGCCGGAGACACTCCTGAAGACTGCTTCATCTGGTCCTCCACCAAGAGGAAACCCGCCGTCCTCTGAGCTGCTGCCCGGCAGATACCCCCATGTCTGGTATGACTTACAGGCGCGTGCCGGAGGAAAACGGGTTTGTTATGCACGCCTCCACCCGACCATGTTTGCCTTCTGCAGCCTCCTCTGGGAACCACATCTGCTGGCGTGCCAGGATATGGACCCCCCCCCCAGCCTCCCTCTGGCTTCTGGCTCCTCATCTGCAGCCTCATTAGCATGTCGGCCGCCTCAGCGCACCGGGAAACAAAACCCATTGTTGTCCCGTCCTGCTGCTTCTCTCCCCGTGGCTCTGTTCAGGCTTTGGGGAAATCTGGCGTCTCTCCGCCTGGAAGGCGATACTGTTGATACGAGGCCGTGGCTTTGTTAGCTGCGTAATGAGCTGGCACGAGGACGCGGGACCCTCCTCTGGAAATGTCACTCTTTGTGTGGACGTGTGTACAAGGGCCGCCCGGAGGCTGGAGCTCCGTAGGTTGGAGCTCTGGAGGTTGGAGGTTGGAGCTCTGGAGGTTGGAGCTCTGGAGGTTGGAGCTCTGGAGGTTGGAGCTCTGGAGGTTGGAAATCCATAGGTTGGAGGTTGGAGCCCCATAGGTTGGAGGTTGGAGCTCTGGAGGCTGGAGCTCTGGAGGTTGGAGCTCTGGTGGCTGGAGCTCCATAGGTTGGAGCTCCATAGGTTGGAGCCCCATAGGTTGGAGGTTGGAGCTCTGGAGGCTGGAGCTCTGGAGGCTGGAGCTCCATAGGTTGGAGCTCCATAGGTTGGAGGTTGGAGGCTGGAGCTCTGGAGGTTGGAGCTCCATAGGTTGGAGCCCCATAGGTTGGAGGTTGGAGCTCTGGAGGCTGGAGCTCTGGAGGTTGGAGCTCTGGAGGCTGGAGCTCCATAGGTTGGAGCTCCATAGGTTGGAGCCCCATAGGTTGGAGCCCCATAGGTTGGAGGTTGGAGCTCTGGAGGCTGGAGCTCTGGAGGCTGGAGCTCCATAGGTTGGAACTCCATAGGTTGGAGCCCCATAGGTTGGAGGTTGGAGCCCCATAGGTTGGAGCCCCATAGGTTGGAGGTTGGAGGCTGGAGCTATGGAGGTTGGAGGTTGGAACTCCATAGGTTGGAGCCCCATAGGTTGGAGGTTGGAGGTTGGAGCTCTGGAGGTTTGAGGCCGGATCTCCGCCCCCGCCGCCCCACGGCCTGACAGTGTCTCCGTACAGCCGGCGTTTGTTCGGCTGCTTGTCATCCTGAACCCGCGTGCCGGCTGACAGCTACAGGTGAGGCAGCTTCTGCCTGCTCATTATTTCTGCAGCAGGTGGAGCAAAAACCAGGTTGATGAAATGTTTTGTCATCTGGAAACTGAAACGTATGGAGGCTCAGATTCTTTTTCTCTCTCCTGACCTTATGACTGTATGGCTCCTTATTCAGTTCTCCTCCAGCATCAAGTTTCCACGAATACTTTAATCCGATCCAGAAGCTGATTTCTTCTGAGAGAGGTGAGGTTTTCCTAAGCACCAGCCCCCAGAGCTGTGATGATTTAACAGCTGGAGCACTTCTCATATGGAGGGCAGATGTGGAAGTCACCGAGAGGGGAGGAGGTCTGAGGGAGGTCTGAGGGAGGTCTGAGAGGAGGTCTGAGAGAGGTATCAGAGGGAGGTCTGAGGGAGGTCTGATAGGAGGTCTGAGGGAGGTCTGAGAGGAGGTCTGAGAGGAGGTCTGATAGGAGGTCTGAGAGAGGTATCAGAAGGAGGTCTGAGGAGGTCTGATAGGTCTGAGGGAGGTCTGATCTGAGCCTGAACTCATCTCCTCTGACAGCCATCCAGAGTCTGTGTTTGCCCCAGAACGTGTGAGGAGAAACATTGAATCTCTTTTGTCACGATAAGACGAAGGAAGAAGAGAGAAAGAGGAAAATAGGAGTGAGTCAAATCTTTGCTGGTAGCAGAACAGTGGTCGGTGAGTTGAGCTGAGAGCTGGAGCTCCTCAGAGGTCTGAGCGGCTGTCATGTCCAATCACTCCTAAAGCCCCTCAAAACAACCCAAAACCAGAGAGGAACAACTCAGTTTTTCGTCTAAATGTGAGTCAAACAGAAAGGATGATGAAAGGGAAAGTGACAGAGGAGCTACAGGGAGCTCATGGCCGCCCACCGGCTCTTCTTCTGGGGAGTGGGCTAAATGGGCCACGGCCACTCGGAAGTGGGACGGGCTGCTGGCTATTAATAAACCCTTTCAAGTCCTCGCACCTTAAGGGGGCAATTAAAAAGCTGCAATCAAGCCCAAAGAAACCAAGAAATGTGAATTATTTCTGAAGGAAACCGTCTGTCGGGACAGAGGAGCAGCGCTCTGTGGGCCTCACAGAGATGTTATCCAGCTGGGGTTTTGGTCCCGTCTCCATGGTCTGGTCACTTCCTGTTTTATTTTGAAAGGTCCATCCCCTTGTTTCAGGTCTCCCTTGTGTGTCACCTGTCCAGTTGTCTCCCTGATCCCTGATTGGTTCCCCTTGGGTTCCCTTCCCCTCATGAATGAAATAGTTTCCCCTGGTCTATTGCCGGTGGGTTTCGTCCTACCAAGAAACCAAAGCCTCAGCTATTCCTCTTCTTGCGCCTTGAACCTCGATTGAACCCTGATTTTGATTTTGTTCCTCCTGGTTTTGTTCTGACTCCCTGTGAGTATTATTTTGTTACCTTGTTTTTTTGATTGATCTCGATTTGTTACTTTTCTGAACCATCCTCGTTGAGTGATCTTTATTTTGTACTTTGCTTCCACTCCTTGCGAGTTTGTTTTGAGTTTAATAAAACCTTTTGTTACTCTGAGTCCTGTCTGAGTACCTCCCTGTCGAGTGTGAGCTCTGCTGCTTTGGGACTGAGCAGAAAACAGAAGCTCTCAGGGTTTTCTCTCCCTGAATGTGCTGGTTCTGCTCTGTCTGGCTTCCAGCAGGTTCCTCACAGTCTGCTGGATCCAGATCCTGCAGATGTTGGGTTAGCCTTCCTGTTCGTGGTTCCTCTGAGGGGAACCAGAGGCAGGTCTGGGTCAGCTGATAGGTCCCAGTCATGTGATCATTCTGGAGTTACTGTTTCAAACCTCATTATATAAAAAACACCAGTCAGTTTTTCACTTTCTTTGCCTCTATTTTTAAACGTGGATGTGAGCCTCCGAGTCTCCGACTCATTAAACATTTAGTGCCATTTGCTCTCCCCAAGAAATACAGCCATCGCTGGCTTCATGAATATAAATTAAAGTTTGAATTCATCATGAGAATTTTCTCAAATCGGGCTGATGCCAAAAGGATCCTTCTGCCCAGTCCCTTCCTTCATCACATCACTCTGCTACAGCACCCCCCCCCCCCCTCCCACCAGAGAAGCCCACTCCTGATGAGAGAAAACAGCCCCGGTTCTTCAGCTCGTCTCAGAGTCGAGCCCCCGGGAGCTGTGTGGGCGACTCGGAGGGAAAACAAGTGTTTAGAGAACAGTTAGTTTCCACCAAGCCATCAGACGCTATCAGACTTCTGCATCTGTGCTTCAGGCTTCCCCTCAAAAACAAAACGGCGGAGTGTGTGGAGCGTGGCTCTGCAAACCCCGGGAGACTCAGCAGGAGCCTCATCAGACTCTGACTCCTGTCCATCAGGACACCAGTGTCCGTCCGTCTGGCTGCTTTTATGAAGCTAAACCTGGTGTTTCTGCCAGGTTCTGGTCTCCCGATGGGGCCCAGAGTCAGAACTAAACCAGG